GTGGGGCTCGATCTCAGGACCCTGAGATCATGACCTGAGCCGATGGCCGCTGCTTACCTGACTGAGCCTCCCAGGTGCTCCCAAAGACCCCTTAAAGACTAAACTTCTTTCCTTTTTTTAAACATCCAATATTTTTCCTTAATATAATAATTTAAAAACTCATACTTGGTGTTCTTTAGTCATATATTTAAATTTTAAGTATGTATATCAGAATTTCTGTTTTGACTGGTAGAACAATCATCACAATAAAACATATCTGCTAGGTCTACAGAACTATACCCAAAAGACTGGGTATATCTGACTGCAGCAAAGTACATACACAAGTGCTAATTCCCACATAAAGACTGAAGCCCTTATGTAGCCAATTTGTCTTTGGAAAGTTGGAAAAGAAGACAAACTTTCTAAATGTCATGACAGCTTGAGAAGCTGAGTTTCTTCCTAGAGCACCTGGATTTCATTTAAAAGACACATGGGGTGTTTTCATTTTTGTTTTTGTTTTTCAGACAGAGAGAAAGAGCAAGCGAGGGGAGGGGCAAAGAGAGGGGGAGAGAGAATTTCAAGCCAACTCCACACTGGGCACAGAGCCTGATGCATGAGCAGGAGTTCAGTCTCACAACCCTGAGACCACGGCCCAAGGTGAAATCAAGTCAGATGCTTAACTGACTGGGACACGAGGCGCCCCAGACACTCATCATTTTTTAAAAATGTCACGAAACAGGCCTCTGCCTATCAATCCACCCGTGTTTTCCCTTGATTGTCCTTCGCCTGATTCATTCACACATTTAGATAATGTTAAAAGTGAAGAGATAATTGTTTTATGCTTTTTAAAAATTTCAACAACCCTGACTTATAATACTTTTCGTCTTAATAATTATCACATAAAAATATGAAGTTTTTCAGAGAATATAATTTAAACTTTTCTTAATTATTTCTGATTTAAGGTTATTCCCCCTATGTCCTGCTATTGGGAATAACAATGAAAATAACTTTTTTCTTTCTTCTGTATTCCTTGCTTAGGACAAATCCTCAGAAGTGGGACTATTAGATCAAAAGATTTTTTTTTTTAGTAATTCCTACAGAATCTTTTGTGAAGGATTTCAGTAAACATGAAGTTGCCTATCAATTTTAGTTGATAGAAATGCTTTGGTATATTTATTTTCTTAGAAATTCGCAAACTTTAAGTAGAACTAAATAGATTCTATTCTATTTTATTGAATAAAATTTGAAGAAACATATTTAAGTATAAGTCTGTTAACCTAAATATGAGATTATTTATAATATGAGGGGGTAATGATTGTCTTTTAGGTTCCGTCCTCCTCAACTAAAACAAAAACCAAAAAAACCATCCTATTTGGCACTTCCTCACCTCAAAGACACCAGTCCAGAGTAAAATGTTTGGCACATTCCCATGGCAATGCCCTCGGGTGCTAAGGACTTTCAAAACTTCTCCAGCAGCTAAACTTAGAGAAGAATGGGGAAGAGGGAGAGATTATTAAAGAAAAGATGACAGCCATCTGCTCTCCTCTTCACACTGAGATGAGAAGTGAAGAGGCAGAATTAAAAAAAAAAAAAAAAAAAAAGTCAGGCTAGAGGAAATTTTGAAAGCAGTGTACTAAGAGGAAAGGTCAATAGAAGATACGTCCTCTTTTTGAAGGCTAGTTTACATCTTTAGGATGTAGTTCCATCGTATTCACAGTCTAGAAGGTGAATAAAAATCACTTATTCATGTATATTCTATTTTTTCATTCTAGTCATGTCTTTAATTACCCAGATTCACCCTTGTACGATGATGGTTCTAAGTTGCATGTGAGAAATTAACACCAGAACCAGGACTTAAGCAGGAGCTCAGCTTTACATTTAATCTTAAAGGCATTTTCCTATCTGTTATCTCCCACTTCTGTTAAATATGTATAAAATAAATATGATGAAACAAATGGCTGGCACAATAGTAGAAATAGAGCCTCGTCTCAGAATCTCCACTGGTCTACCCGCTAACTGCGACACTGTAATATACTCTTCACATATAATGTGGGAAAATAAGAGACAGTAACTAATTAAGACAAAACATGGTTAAACAGAGAATTTCCAATAGCTAAACTTAGAGAACTGTTAATTTGTTTAAATTCATTTGATTTTTTATATTATTTTGGTAATTATCTGCAGAGAAAAGTTTAGATAGAATTTCATCTTGAATCTACTTGGCTTATGGAATGTCCCATGAAAAGGTAATACTGAAGTTTCCATATAGTTAAACAAGTCAAGATTTTGTCTACTGGCAACCTAACTGCTATATTCAACCACAAGACCTACTTTTAATAAATCATTAAATCTTTACAACTAATTTTGAAAGCTTTGGTCCATCTCATGTTTCTTCAATACACATGTTTGTTTCAGAAAGTTCTAAATAGATCTGAACATTAAAAAAAAAAAAAATCAAACTGACGTGTCTGATAAAAAAAAAAAAAGACAACGAAGTGAGAAATGTTTATTAGGACAGAAGGTATTAGCAGTTTCTTGTCTTCTCTTGATAAACCCAGCAAGTATTTACAGTAATTGTCCCAAACCCTGACCCTATTTCTCTCTGGATTCTTTGTTAGAAAGTACAAGGATATGAACTTTTAAAGAGATTTCATACGACAAGGGCACTGGGTGGCTCAGTGGGTTAAGCATCTGTCTTTGGCTCAGGTCATCATCAAAAGGGTGCTGGGATGAACCATGTGAGGCTCCAGCTCAGCAGGGAACCTGCTTCTCCCTCTGCCTCTGCCTACTGCTCTGCCTACTTGTACCCCCTGCCCCCGTCTGTGTGTCTAATAAATAAGTAAATAAATCTTTTAAAAAATAAAAAATTTAAAAAATTAAAAGAAAAAAAGAGATTCCACACATCCTTTATCCTGGACACTGGAGGGTGTTTTTCACCACTGAGAGCATCCCCAAATAGCACCCTACTGAGTCAGCTTGAGTCCATCGTGATTCTATAAAAATGACCGGCCAAGCCATTAAAATGATAAAACTTCCATTTCCTAAAGAAGGCAGATTTTATGGAAATGAATCACGTAGCCTGTATATTTAACCAGATACAAGTTAAGCATATTCACAAGAACAAGACTTAAACTGGCAATTCCTTAACATTCAAAATTTCACATGCCTTCTTTGTGTTAAGACTTTGTTATTACGAAAATCTGTTCTTTCCCGTAACCACTGGCAAAGCCTCTGGAGTAGGTTCGGTAAAACAGCATCTACAGTCATGAAACCAAATGTTTTAAACACTGAGACCTAGTTAAGACTTACCACAGATTTAAAAGGGAAAAGACATTCAAAAGAAAGAATGAGACCGAAAGGGAAACTTTTTTTTTTTTTTTTGTATGTACATAATCAGTCAGTCCAACTGCTTATCATACTCCTTGAACTGGTGGTCATAACCAGGCCAGACTCATCACAGATAGGATGAGCAGAGACGAGTGACAGTGCTGGTCACAGACTTAGCTGCATCTGACCCAGCAGTGGAGACGGGCATCACAAGGACAGCAGTAGTTGCATTTAAAAAAAGGACATGAATACCAAGTACTAAAGGGAAACCGTTCTCCAAACCAAATTAATTTCAAACTAGAGATCAAATTAGTAACACAATTAAGATCTTGATAAATCAAGTATTTCTACCATAAAAACTTCAAAGCACAAAGCCATAACATGGAGTTTTTAAAAACTAATTCTAATCCAATCTTTGCTTCCTAAAAAGAACATTTCATTAAAAATACTGGTTATCCTTTATTAACTTTTTAATTTGGAATAATGAATCAGAGGAAGATACACAGAAATGTGCAGGGAAGTCCCATGCACCCTTCCTCCGGTGTCCAGTCTAACTCCCTATACGCAGTTAGAGAACAGGATCAAAACCAAGAAACTGACACGAACACAATCCATTGAGTTTCTTCAGATTTCATCAGTTATACATGCACTCCGGTCTGTGTGTGCGCACAGGCATGCAGATCTGTACAGTGCAATCACGTATGTAGCCCTGTGCAATGTAACCACTGCCAGGATCGAGATACTCACCCCCATCATCACAAGACCCCTGTGTACCCCTTTACTGCCATTATTCTCTTCTAAAAATTAGTTAAAAAAACAGGTATACCCACTGTCCAACTTTAGCCATTGTATGCAAAGCAGATACTTTAGCTAATGATGAATAGGAAATAACCCTGTATGAGCTTTTTCTCTGAAGTCCTAAGTGAATCCAAGGATAAGTAAAGTGAGTTAAGTGAGAGCAGGGAAGGTAAAAGGCAGTTCTCAGAGTAGTGGTGCTTGACCATTAACAAGAAGCAGGTAAGGACAATACAGCTGCGGCAGAGGTGTGGATAACAGCGGGTGTAACTGCTCCAAATCAGATAGTACAAGGCTAAACTTCCAACAGTTTCCAAAAATATACTGGATCAGCTAAGAAAGCATACACAGCTTTTAGAAATCATAAAGCGAGGGGTGGCTGGATGGCTCAGGAGGTTAAGCATCTGACTCCTGGTTTCAGCTCAGGTCATGATCTTAGGTGGTGAGATCGAGCCCCAGGTCAGGCTCCACACTGGGCATGGAGCCTCCTTAAGATTCTCTCCCTCTCCCTCTATTCCTTCCCCACCCCTAAAAAAAATCATAAAACGAAAGCCTTAAACTATTTCATATCATGGTAGTATATTTTAAACATGTGTTTATTAAGTTAACTATATCATAACAATGATATGTATTGCTTAAGCTTCCAAGTCTACTATATAATCCATGTATTCTTTATTAAAATAGTTCATAGTGTATAAAAAAAGACTTTAAAAAAGACTAAAAAGCACTTCTGTGGACACATCAAGAACATCTAAATGAAGCTTTTTTAAAATGCAGTGACTAACCAGAGGTTAAAAATAAAAAAAAGTTCCTTAAATAATCATTGGCCGTAGAGTACCATACAAAATGAAATTAGTCAACTTAATTCATTTTGTAGTTCTCCCAAGTCCAGTACTTACATTCAAATTTTAAGATCCAACATCCATTGAGAATCCCAAGCATACATTTTAGGGTACTTTGAACTGTATCCCCAGGAACAATGACATGAGTCACTAGAATACCAAAAAAAAAAGAAAGAGAGAGAGACACAAAAATATAAACCAAAATAATTCTCCAACTATTATAATCTGTACCTCATAATCTGGATTTTCTTCAAAAGCAACAATCTTTTACTTTTAAAATTTACTATCATTCTCCATCCTGGCCAACAACATGAAAAATCAGATCATAAACCATGAAACTTAAAGCCATATTAGCAAACATATTTTTCCCTTATTTTCAAATTATAACTAAGAATTCAAGTGTTACATTGCACACAATTTGTCATTAGTGAACTCAAAAGTTTGCCTTTCTGATGCAGTTCTGTCCTAAAATATGTGCAAAGCTTTAAACTTCATATTTCCTAACTAAATTAGGCCTATAAGTAGTTTATAACTATAAACACATTTTTGACATATTACAAGATTCAAAGTATACTGCCAATCCCCAATGGTTAAAACATATAAATTATCAAGGGAGGTCTACAAAGGGATTACTTATTTAAAATTTTTTTGAACCAAAGGTAAGTATATAAATCTCCTCACCTGTATTGTCAAATTCAGCACATTTTTTAGCCTTAAGAGTTGCTGCAAGCTCGCTGAGCATTTTTTGTTGTTCTGAAGAAAGCCCACTGCCTATAAGCACAAGAGGTCCATCCCTACGCTGACCAGTATTCGTCTGTTAAGGGAGATACCACAGTGTTAAAGTCATGTAAAGACTAGAGAAAGATATTAAATGACTTGCACTTGATAGAAGCTTGAGTCTCTGTTCTTATCTTCCTCTATCTAGTAATTCCCCACAATTTCCATCAAATTGTCACTCAGAGCCTTAATGCTCAATACATGTTATTAGTCCTTTATTTTTTCCCCAATAAAATGCTATTTGGAATAGCAATCTAAATCCAGGGCATCTTATTTTCTTGATTCTACATTGGATCTCTGTAGGATTTTACAACTTCATTCTGTCACTAGAAAGCCTTTTTTTTCTTAAGTAACCCAAAACACTAAAAAATATCAATTCCCTATCTCCCCTCCACTAACTTATTCCACTAAAGTTAAAACTCAGTTTGGTCTTTTTATTTTAAACTGAGATTATGTGAAAAATCAAAGAACACTAAAGCTTCTAATTGCACTGAGCTCAAAAATCGAAAAGAAACTCTTAACATCAAAACAGCTACCTACTAAAACCAAGAAAATTAAAAGAGACAAGGAAATACAAAAGTTAGATCAGATTCACCAACAGTAATAACTCAACACAGCTCATGAAAAGGAAAGAACTGCTCTAACAATGACCAATATTTTCACTTGAAGAGAAAGATAAAGAACTTACATGAGACAACGATAACAAAAATAAAGAGAAGACACCAATGGGTAGCATTTGAGATTAGAAGTGAAAGATTCAGGACGCCTGGGTGGCTCAGTTGGTTAAGCTGCTGCCTTAGGCTCGGGTCATGATCCTAGCATCCTGGGATCAAGTCCCACATCCGGCTCCTTGCTTGGCAGGGAGCCTGCTTCTCCCTCTGCCTGCTACTCTGCCTGCCTGTGCTCGCGCTCTCTCTCTCTCTCTCTGACAAATAAATAAATAAAATCTGTTAAAAAAAAAAAAAAAAAAGAAGTGAAAGATTCAAAGAAACAATGAGATGGAAAATACCTCCAACACCAGCCAACAGAACTTAACGAATGGAATTGGAATGAGAGTTAGCCACAAGCTATCTGATACAAGACAAGCAATGACCCAGCAAAGAAAAGAAAAAGCAAATCACCACCACTGTATTAGAGGACAAAAAGCCAAACATAGTACTGTAATTTTCAAATATAAAACATAAGGCCCTCTGGCGTGTGTGACTTTATATGCAGAGGATTTTTCTGGATTGTCAAAAGCTCCAAAGAACACAAGTGAAACACTGAAGGTATGATCACTAGCACAGTTCAACATCTAGATTCAAGAAAGTTTGTATTTAAATATTCACTTTACATATCAGAGTAGTGATGATTCAGTCTGATGCCCTACAGTGAAACATCTAAGTTGTTTAGCTACATCTATAAACAGATCGAATTCATTCACTGAAATCTATTGATGGATTCTACTACTTATTAAGCAAGTATGTATACAAGATTTTTTAAGAGATTTCTATAAAAGGTTTTTGTTAATGTCAATATTTAGCACGTAAAAGTTCAGTTTCCTGAATTACTTATTTATATAAGGGTCAAGGGGTAAAGGTTTTACTGGACACGTTTACACACACTTACATCACATTTCTGTATATGTATCTTCCCTATTCTCTAATTCTCTAAGTTATAAGGTGATGTAACCATGTCTAACCTAAACACTAAATATTCCTTAAGATGGAAATAGTGCGGTACACTTTATGGATCATTCAATCACTAAATAATAGTAAAAAATAGTAATTCAAAAATTATCGTTATAATTATACAAGTAAGTGCCACAAAAATAGCTCCAAATGCAACACATTACTTTCTAATTTATATAACTCTACTTCAGCTAAATGAGTTCTCTGCACAAAACACAAGAGTGAAAAGATATCAATTCTAAATATAGCATATGATACTATTTCCATCAACCCCAGAAAAAGCACCAAAGTGGGTCAAGCATTTTCCTATCATAGTTTCTACATTTGAATAAAAAATAGAAACTGGCACTAATTTCTCATAGTTAAGAAATACTATTTTTAAAAAAAAAGAAACATAAAGCAAACAGCCATCAAAGCTACACATTTGATTTGGAATAGGAGGTGAGGGATGGGCAAGGAATTTGGTTAGAATAAACAAAGATCTTAGAACCACGAGGTTCAAAAGATGTTCAGAAAATATCCTATGGGTTCAATACCTTGATTTTATAGATATTGGTTACTATGTAAAATGACATTAAATAAACTTTAAAAAAAAGATTTTATTTATTTATTTGAGAGAGAGTGAGAGAGAAAGAGTGAGCACAAGCAGGAGGGAGGGCAGAGGGAGAGGGGAAAGCAGGCTCCCTGGAGCCTACCAAGGGAGCTTGCTCCCAGGACCCTGGGATCATGACCTGAGCTGAAGGCAGATGCTTAACCGACTGAACCACCCAGGTGCCCCATGTGTCTCCATCTTCACTCTTGCATTGAAGCTCCAACCTAGCAGAGATCACAGTATCCCCAAGTGCCTGAAACACTTGACTGATAGATTTCAGACACCCAATAAGTATTTGTCAGATACATGAACACATTTATCATCATGCCTGCATTGCTGTTTCTCTTAGAGCTAATAAACATTTCTCAATACCCTTGCCAATCTCTTAAGGCCCTGAGATAAGGAGGTACATTCTAAGAAATAAAAATTCAGAGTCTTGGATCTGTTGATATCTGGGCACTTGGCTGTGGGGATGTAAGAACAATGGAGGAAAAAAAATCCTTTAAAATGAAAATATATTTTGCCAGATTAGTGGTATGGGAAAAGAAATCCAGGTTGGGAGGACAGGAAGACACTTTGCTATGTAAGCTATGGCAGTACAGAGCCCTCCCTGATAGGACTACCCCAGGGTTGGATGCCATGTGTACGCCCAGCTCCTTACAACTGTTCCTGGCAGAGAAGACAGCCAGCGTAGAGGACCTGGAATCGGAACGTGTTTGGTGGATTCAAGAAACAGTGAGGCAGCCCAACGTGGCTGAAAAAGAGGGAGTGAAAGGGAGTCTGGCAGCAGCTGAGGGAAGAAATTCCAGAAAGACACAACCCTTTCAACTTAGGACTTCCATCCATTATCTTTTCCTTAGCCAAGAACCTACCACCACGATAGTAAGTAAGGATATTCTCAGGCCATGTCCATGTGACATGAGGAAAATATATGTTTCTTACATTTAATAAAAACACAACAGTAACTGGACAGTAGAACTGAGAGGAGGATAACCAATCTCCTCTTCTCTGAAGGACAGCACCATTTTCACACTCCAACAATCCCATAATGACATCCTTATTTTTGACACATTTAAAACAATTCTTCTCCAGCTTTTCATAAAAGCAACACTGGCAAATGACAATTTAGTTCTTAGTTGTATGTTCTGCCAGGAGAGTCCAAGTCCAAATGAATAAAATAAATGCCAATTTATTTTGCCATATTAAGTGTGATGGGACTGAAGGGGTACTGACCTAAGATATAAGAAATTCAAGCTCTAACTGATCCATTCAAATAAAAAAACCAAGCTTACTTTTTCTTTTTTTGTAATGGCTCCTCAACCATGAGCAAATCAGACTAGGTTTCAGCTTTCTCATTTGTAAGCTAAGAAAATTAAACTGCTGATTTCTACATTCTCTTTCAGTTCATCATCAAAATTCCAGCTCGGTGCCCACTCGCAGAGCTGACATCCAGGAGAAGGCAGGAGACAGAGAGTTCTCAGAGTACAAAGGTAACTGGCCTGCGATAGTACCTACGACCCTCTCCCGTACCTCAGCTCACCTCCTCATCCTCAACAATGAGATCAATCACTGTGCCACTGCCCTCACTAGACAAGAAGTGCAGGGCCTCTGGGCACAGACCTCAACTCATCCCTTTCTCTCATCTTCCCCTGTCTTGTCAGTTGCAAGGTGCCCGCCACACGCCTCTTGAAAACCCCACTTCTCTCCCTGCCCACATCACCGCACCCGTTCACAGCAGAGCTCTATCGCACAGCCTCGCACCCAGTCGGCCCACTTCGGCTGTCCTCTGCACTGGAACTCACCGAGATTGCCCCACTGAGTAGGGCAGTAATGTCCAAACTCCTCCTCAGGGAACCCAAAGCCTTTTACAATCTGATCCCAACCTTGCTCTTGACCTCCGGTTCTAATAATACACCTTGTGCTCCTCTCGCACTCAATCTAGTTTCTCAGATTTCAAAGGTCCTTTATACCTTCTTGTCTTTCAGCTGTTGTTTCCTTAAATTTGGACTGCCATCCCCATTTTGCACACCTGGTCACAGTGCGGCCAGCTCACTGGATCCACGCCTCACTCCCTCCACACTAACAGAATCCCAGTTTCTACAGATATATCCGCTCTTCAAGGACTGACCCCATCTTTAAATACAAGGTATATCAATACCAATTGTGTGACCAGTTCTGACCAATAAAGACATAAGGGAAGTCCAGTAGAAGGCTCCTGGGGAAGGTTTCAGACACCCAACACTGTCCCATCGACAACTGTCCCATAGAAAACCGCAGCAATCATCCTATAACCACTGAGGGGAGATTAGTGAGATTAGCCCTCAAGCTGACAATGGTAATGCAGAAAGACAGAAAGAATTTGGGTCTCTGCAGCAACCATTTAATTGCTGAACTCACCAAGGAAAGCTCTCCTATACTGAGATTATCTTTATACAAAATAAAACACTGCCTTGAGGCATTTGAGTAAATGTTTTGGTATTTGCAGCCAACATTCTATTAGACACCTTGCTGAAACTTTTACAAGTTTACATGCCTTCTCTGTCACCTTCTCTATGAAGCTCTTCTGATCCCTCCTGAAGTCAGCTTCTTCTTTCTCTGTAAATCTATTGTACATTTTTATGGCTTCTATTATAAATATACTAGAGTACATAATGAACTTTTTTCACATCTATAGTCCCCACTAAACCGTAAGTTCTTAAGGAATAAGCGTTCTTTCCACCTTCCAGCTTATAGCTCTTTCCTAAGCTACAGACACCAGCCTGTTCAACATGTTTGCTGCCTTATAGACATAAAATTGCCCGAGAATTACTGATTTCTTTCCCCACACCTGGAAAGGCACTGGCATCTGTCCCACAGCTGAAGTCACACCAGCTCTATTTATCCACACTGCATACAGAATCCATCAGAAAGTGTGTTGCCATTAACTCAAAAATATACACTAAACCTCATCACTTCTCACAATCTCCACTCATTACCTCAATCCGGAGGATCATATCCCTTCTTGTCACAGTGCATCAGTCCTCCACAATCGTCCTGGTTCTGCTCTTCTCCCACCCGTCTCCTTACTACAATGCAGCCAGAGTGAACTTTCTAAAACATACATCGAATCATGTCATTCCCTTGCTTTAAATCCTTTCAGTGGTTTCCATTACTCTTGGACACTGACTGACTAGTCGCCAGCAAGTACGACCTTCTCTCTAACCTTCAAACACACCAAGCTCATCCACGGAGGGACGACAGGGAACACTATAGGGAACACTTGTCATCCAGACAGAGGTTTCCCTGGATGCCTCCTCCTCCTTGTTCAAGTCTCAAATCAAACAACAGTGCTCTGCAGGCCCTCCCCAATGACACAGCTAAAGCAGAGCCTTTCCTGGAGTCCTCAACCTCCACTCAGTTATACTCTACAAAATCTCCAAACCACACATTTATAAATTACTGAGATTATTTCATTTATATAGGCTTACATATTTACAATTTCGCCCTTTCCTATCTCTCCTTACAATGTTAGCTCCTTGAGAATAAGGGCTCCATCCATCACACTGGTTGCAGTGTGAATGCTCCCTAAAACATACAGGGGGCCCCAAAAAATACTTGTTTGACTTAATCTGATTATAACTGTCTTTGATTGAATTCACAATTCCTAATACAAAAGAAGTGTTCAATAATTGTTTGGTGATTGAAAGTAATCTGCTAACTGGAAATTTTCCTATTATGTTCCCTTCACAACCAATTTCAATAAAAGACATTAATTTCCCAAAGTCTAATCCATACTTACTACCGAGCAATGGCGAGTGGATGATGAGTCATTCTTCTCTGGTAGCAACAATAGTGATTTCATATTTTCACCGTCTGCATAATCCACAGGCCGCAAACCAAATATGTTACTGGCAAAAATAAGTGCAGATGGGTTTAAGTAAATAGAATGTGTGACTTGATTTTTAACTAAATGGATGCACCAGGGGAAGAATTTTTTCAACTTCCTTAATAATATACAACTTTTCCTAAAATAAATGACTCAGAATTCACACAAAGCATAAGGCTCAAGTATCCCAAGCTGCTGAATTCAATGGAAAAAAGATGTGAAATTTCAATTTGACATCAGACCATTCTAGGGAGTATTTTTAATTGAATAGGTCATTACTTACACATGGATTTTTTTACAACTCTGCATGCTTCTGTATTCATATTCACATTTATAATATAGCTTCATAATCATTAATCACCAAGGGAAAGATGCTTTCAAATGCAAATAAAAATAATTTACCATAGCTATTATAAGCTCTATATTCTATATAAACAAATGCAGAAATTAGATAAATACACAGGACAGACATTCAGATCTGCAGAAAGAAAAGCATGTCACATAACAAATAAATGAATAAAGCAGAGAGCAGGGCACTTTTAAAATTAACTTTAATACATATGTACACTGTGTAGGAATCAAGCCATCAAGAGAATCAACTGGTGGTTTCGGGAACAAGTGGATGCAGACTTCTCAGCATGTACTAATTCACAAGTCACAGAATATATTACACTGGAAGAGAATTCAGAAACAGTACAAATCTGCTATTTCATAGATAAGAAAACAGAAAGAACAAAGTTCCAATGACTTGACTAAAGCTGTGTTTTTCTTGTGTTCTAATAATAGTCAATATTGGCCATGATTAGTTTCTTTTGTCTACTCTTCTACTTCCTTACATATGGTTTCAAGAATAATTTAAAATATACAAAATGTATTTTATTATGACAAAAAGTTTCCTAAAATGACCATTTCTTTTATAAACTTTTATGGTTTTTAAAATTGTGGCATATCCAAGTAATGGCTGTTAAAGTGCATGTGAACATGCAATGTGTTCAACAGGACACAAGACGATGAACAAGATACAATGGTACAATAAACGATAAACATGGTCCTTATACACAATACCACTTTTTAAAACTATACTGAATGTACAGAAAAAGATCTGCAAGGGAACAGTGGAAGGAAGAGGAAGGAGGAAGGTGTCAACTCTGATGCTGTGTGAAAGGCATAGAGATGAGGGACAGAAGCACCAGTTTGGCTTGGAGACAAGGTCAGACCTTGGACAAAGTGGTTTTGATGGCATAGCAGGAAGAGATAGCTAGTGCATGAAGCAATAAACCACAGTAACTGTTTCTCTAGTGAGTGCTACTCATGACTATCAGTTTACTCATTCTTCTTGGGATGAGCCCACAAATATCAATAAATCAGTACTCTCAGATTTCCCTTCAGGCCTAGGTTCAATAATTTGCAACCTTTCTCTGGCAACCGTCCTTCTCCAGCCAAGAACTGTATTGTGTTTCTGCTTTCTGGTTTACAACAAAGTGACAAGCTATTGTGCTGGACTTGGTGTCTTTCCAAATTCCCATACATTTAGAGCAGACAATCTCAGTTTATTTCAAAATGCAGCTGATTTCATCCATTATCCTTGATACTTCTTAATTCCATTCTCTTAAATTACTGTGCTTACAGGCCAAATAAACAATCCCCTCACACATATATTCTGCGAGTATGCCAATCAAAAGAGAAATCTGAGATAATTAATCAATATTCTAGGTCTTAAACCACCAAGTACAAAAATGAATAATCAACAAAAAAGATATCACATTATATGGCGTCAAAAAAAAATCACTGTATAACAAAGGACTTTTTAAAAAGGACAACTGTAAATCTCATACTTCAAAGAAACAAAATGTCAGAGCCTAAGCAAGTATGTTCATGAACAGTAACTACAGTATACTTGTTTTACAGAGATAGGAATAAGTCCACTATGACAACATAAAACAACGTTAATGAAAGTACTTCCCAAAAGTACCATCAGAAGCCAGCGGGCTTCAAACAAAAGGCAACCAATAAAACAACCATCTGAACAAGTGAGATGCTCCTACTGTTTAAAGTTTTCCTTCATAAAATGGCTGGCAGGATTCTAGTTTACATTTTGAGCCCTTATACACAAAGCTCTCTATCTCATACGGTCTTCAAACATGCGCTTGGACGCTTTTGCTCATACACAGCCCGCTAAACCCTAAGCCCTCCTGTATTGTTAATGAACTGGAGAATGGCACAGACAAATGCTATAGATGGAAAGACACTCAGTTAAACCTCAGCCCTGCATCACAGGAGATGGAGCCTATTAAATCCTGTCGTGTTTCTGCTCTGCTGTGGACCACTGAAATTTGAAATGAGAATCAAGTTTTTATGCGGCACCTTCAAAACTCCACAGCAAGAGGAGACAGGGCATACGTAAGATGTCTCCTCTATCACATGGGCACAAAAAAGCCGCACGACTTTTTTCCCCCATAATGATATATTTCAATGGACTAACACTTTCTTTAGACTTAGCGTAAAAAACAAAACAAACAAACAAAAAAACGGTTTTAGATGTACATAATTAGGGGTGCCTGGGTGGCTCAGTGAGTTAAGCAACTGCCTCATGGCTTAGGCTCAGGTCGTGATCTCATGGGAGGGGAGTCTGCCTGAGATTCTCTCCCTCCTCGCACTGGCGCTTGCTCCCCCCTCCACCTCTCTCTCTCTCGAGTAAATATATCTTTAAGCAAATAAATACATAAATAAATGTACATACTTAGATTTATCTTTTTTGCAAAACGGTAACATTTGGAAGAAAAGTCACATGTCATTACGTGCACAGAAGACTATCAATGTGACTGATTATTAAATGAAGATAATGAGAATAACTTTGCTCACTAGGGTTCTTTTTGATTACTAAGACTAATGAGAAGAAGTTCTTGTTAAAGAGTTGAACTGTTGTGTTTAACACTGCAGCTTTACCCCAAAGGCAAGAGTTCAGAATATAGTATAACCCTTTAGTGTCCTTTTTACTCAAGAATATGGTAGAACTTGCCCATACCTAGACCCAAGAGAAGGCTCACCACTCAAAAAAAAAGGGGGGGAGGGGGAGAGATGGACAAATTCAAATTTGCACATACACATACAGAGCATCCAGTCCCAAACACTCATGCAAAAAGGCATTTTTACTAATACTAAACCTATCACTCATGACAGGCTACCAAGACAGTTCATGAATGAAATCCTTCATGAATTCTATAAAATTGCAAACACATAGACTTTAATTTTTCAAGTCACTTGGTTTGCTGTGAAGCAGGAAAGGCACAGAAATTCAAAAGAGCAACATTTTTTTAAGCTATGAAACAAATTATGTTATAACAGATTAATTTTTTTAAAAAATTAACTAGGGCAGTGGGACAATTAACAGGTCCAACGGTCCATGTAATATTTTCTAATTATGAATTCTACACCCTTGCAAAAAAACTGTGTTAATGTCAGACCAAGTACCAAATTCTAAACTTTATACATCTCTTAAAAAAAATAAAAAAGCATATGCTATTCTCCATATACTCAAAGTGGTTCTGATGGGATGAAGAATTTTTTTTTATGTCTGCGGGGGATGAACTGAAGGCAGAAGAGGGACAACCAGTGAGGTTTTGACCAGTCACCAATATAAATATTCTCAGACAAAAATGAAGCACAGAAGATATGAACCTTTTTATCTGAGGTTGAAACAGAAGTCATTTTCCCTCTTGCATAATGGACTCTTATTTTAGTGCATAAGAAGGAAATTTCTCATGTAAAACATACGTAAAATCAGAGTTAAGTGAATTAATACTGCATTTAAATGCAAAATGTTATCTTTAAAAGTGGCAGAGTTTGCATAGCAGAAACCCAAAGCACATAAGAAAGTATTCTAAGTGGAAAGTGATGTAAAAAACAGTAAGGTGTTAGATTAACATTAAATCTAAACAAAAGATCAAGTCTGAAGTAGATACATATAACCTTCTACTATATCCGTATTCCCTCTATAATCATAAAGACTTAGGGTCCCAAAATCTTGCAGTAAGAAATTCATAGTTCAGGATCATAGCCTCCATGAGGAAATACAGGACTGGGTGACTTCACTGGTGAATTTATCAAAGTCCTTGTGTTTTTTAAATTAAACAGTGAAGATAGTAGATAATATGAATGATAGTACTGTATGTAGTTAATTCCTAGTTACCTTGTCTTGCCTTACTTGTAGGTTAAGATTTCCCTGCACCAGTATTCAATAAGATGCTTTTAGATTCGCTTAGCTTTGTGATAAATCATATTCCACTCTTTCTTTTCCTATACCTAGCCTTCCATAGGCACTCAGTACCTAATTACATTTCTGAGTTATTGACTCTCTCCATCTCCTGAACTTCCAAAAAGATTGTTATTTTCACATTTTAAAAGTATTACCGGTGCCTGGGTGGCTCAGTGGGTTAAAGCCTCTGCCTTCGGCTCAGGTCATGATCCCAGGGTCCTCGGATCGAGCCCTACATTGGGCTCTCTGCTCAGCAAAGAGCCTGCTTCCCTTCCTCTCTCTCTGCCTGCTTCTCTGCCTAGTTGTGATCTCTGTCAAATAAATAAATAAAATCTTTAAAAATAATAATAATAAAATAAAAGTATTACTAAAAAAAAATAGCTCTTGAGCCTTCTTTCCAAAATTTAAAGTCACATGGTCTTACTACCTTTTATGACAGCTTAATACCAGAACATATCAGAATATATAGCTTTCTCATCTGGATCCCTTAGTCCTCATATACAAGCTTTGCTCCCTTCTAAAGACAACCAAAAATAACCCCAAGGGCTGGATTTTTGTCTCAGATTTTCTTCGTCCTACCAGGGCTAAGTTACAAAAATTTTTACCCCTCTCTATAAGTTTGCTTTACACACAATTGAAATAATTCAAGTTAAATTCTTATAGCAGCAGAAAAGCTATAAAGCCAATCAAAAAATATCAAATGTTGGGACGACTGACTGGCTTGGTCAGTAATGCATGTGACTCTTGATCTTGAGGTCTTGACTGCA